TTCTCATAAGCCAGGGAGATGGCAGGGACCTGCAAAACCACAAGTGAATAAATAAATACATGAACTTTCCACCCAAATTTGAGTTCATTTGAACCTCTCTATAGAACAGGATGAAGAGCCAAACAGCTCACCATGTCAGTTCCCAGATCAATACAGAGGATGGTGACGGTTCCCAGGGGCAGAGGGATGTTGGCGATGATGAAGAGGAGGAAGGGTGAGATCTCGGGGATGTTACTGGTCAGAGTGTAGGCGATGGACTTCTTCAAGTTGTCAAAGATCAGACGGCCTGAACAAAGTAATTTAGAAGATTCAGTAATGCTTTGTATTTTGTATTTCCAGATTTCTGCAGGTGTAGGTGTTGATATAGATCTTACCTTCTTCCACTCCAGTGACAATGGAGGCAAAGTTATCGTCCAGCAGGATCATGTCAGCAGCCTGCTTGGAGACATCAGATCCAGCGATGCCCATGGCAACACCGATGTCAGCTTTCTTCAGAGCTGGAGAGTCGTTCACACCATCACCTGTCACGGCCACAATGGCTCCCTGGACAAGGAAGAACATGTTTTTACAAGTTCCAAACAAAACATTTGTCAAACTGTGTCTGTGAGAATCCCCAGCGATGCTCACCTGTCTCTGGCATCCTTCCACAATGATCAGTTTCTGTTGAGGGGAGGTCCTGGCAAATACAATTTCAGTGTGGTGCTTCAGCAAATCATCAAGCTCCTCTGAGGTCATGTCTTTAAGCTCACCACCATGGACGACGCAGGCCTTAGCATCCCTGAAGAAATTACAACAGCATTAGTACAACAGTAGGGTATCATCAGGAGATTAGAAAGAAAAAAAAACAAAAAATAAAATCAATTTGACCAAAACAAAGACAGCATCACCCTTAGGAAAAACTAGGACTCCCAATTATAGACAATGAGTTCTAGCTCCTCAGCCACACCTACCCTACAGCAACTGCTTTGTTCTAAGGTGGCTGTGGCTGAGGAGGTAGAGCAGGTTGTCTACTAATTGGGAGTCCTCCATCTGCATCCAAGTATCTTTGGGCCAGTTACTGAACCCCGAGTTACCACAAATCCAGAGTAAATGTAAGGTTAAAAGTTAAAATGGAAAGGTTAAAATGGAGTAGAGGTAAGGTAAAAACACTTTTGGCATAGAAAAGGGTGCTTGTGTGACTGTGTGTTGAAGAGGCAATGAAGCTTGTAGTAGAAAAAGTGCTTTAAGTGCAAAGGTAGAGTACAAAAGCACTATTTAAGAACCAGTCCATTCACCAGCTAATGGCCACAGAACAATTTTTACCAGCTGCTCCTTACGCTTGAGAGATACTAGCACAGTGAATCTTTGAAAGAGAACTAACCGAGGGTTGACCTCTGAAACTGGAACATTCAGGCGGGCAGCAATGTCTTCAACAGTCTCATTGCCTTCTGAGATGATACCCACACCTTTAGCAATAGCCTTGGCTGTAATTGGATGGTCACCTGTGACCATGATGACCTGAGAGAGAAGAGATGAGAAAAAATTGGAGTACTTTGTACAAACAAAAAACCAAATATCTGGTCATCCAAAAAGTTATCATACCTTGATTCCAGCACTCCTGCATTTACCAACAGCATCAGGCACAGCAGCACGAGGAGGGTCGATCATGGCCATGAGTCCGACGAAGCACAGGTTCTCAGTGGGGAAGTTCACTTCATCAGTATCAAAAGCAAATCCCTCTGGGAACTGGTCATCAGGGAGGTGACAGTGGCAGAAACCTGAATAAGACACAAAGAAAATGCTAGTCAGGACTTTGCAGAACTGCCTTGTTTCCACTACCTAATAAAGGATGTAGCTATAGAAGGAATGTTCTGTACCCAAAACTCTCTCTCCAAGACCTCCCAACTCAACATAGGCATTCTGGAAAGCATCTTTCATCTCATCATCCAGAGCCTGCTCTTTGCCCTGAAGCACAATGGAGGAACAGCGGTCCAGAATCCTCTCTGGAGCTCCTTTCATCACCAACAGATGCTTGGTTTCCCCAGGAGTGGTGTTTTTATGGATGGAGAGCTGTGGGACAACAGAAAGGCTGGATTTAAATTCAGGTTTTATCTATACTATCAGTGGTTTATGTAATGAAAAAAACTGGTTTACTCTAGACAGCTTTGATAAGAACTTTAGCCAAAAACAGCTTATGATTAACCCAACCACTAGGGGGCACAAATCAGCATTTACTACTAAATATGCTGTGCACTGAGACTATACATAACAGACCAAGATAACCAACAATTTAATTAAAAAGGGCATTCCAGAATGGCCTAAAACCTGCATGCCTTCTAATGTCCAGCAAGTCTGTTTGCATAAAGCAGTCTGTTTGTATTGATGACTGTATGATATTAAACCTGAGTAAATACTTTACTGATTAGTTTATTGTCTAACTCTGTTCAATTTGCAGATGCTCAACTGGCAAACCACAGCGTAATTTAAACTAAAATATAAGATAAAGCAGGGTAGGGTTTAGGGGATTGCCAGGCTGTGATTGTCAAGTTGCCTTTGTATTTGGTTGTTGTGCTGTTTGTTTCACAGTCAGAGCCACAAGCCTTCTTGTTCAGGTTAAAAAAGAAATAAGATGGAAACCGCCTAATGCTCAAATCAATGCTTTAAAACAACACTTGAGTGGCTAAACAATCTGTGAATCAGTTTTCTTTTATTTTTGAGCTTTTTCACACTATCTGGATGGTTTACCTGGTATTTGTTTGTGGAATTGAAAGGGATCTCAGCAATTTTGTGGTATTTTTCTCTCATTTCACTGACAGATCCACAGCACAACTCAATACACTTCAGCAAGGCAGCTTCTGAGGCATCACCAGCGACATCTCTCTGTGGATTTTAGAAAAAACAGTCATTAAAATTGGATCAACAATCACATCCCATGCCTTCTTTATTACAATATGTTGCAAATGTAGACTGATGTAAACAGAACTATATATAGATAATTTGTTGTTGAATTACATAAAATATACAGCACCCAGGTCTTGATGAATACCACTCCCTAAACTGGGTAGATGATTTTGAGGACTAGGATTCAGTTTTAATTTAATTCCACAGTACAATATCACTTGTATCAAATGTTGATTTACTCTTACACTCTTATATAAGCTTATATAAACTCTAATATAATTTGCCTGCTATGTATTGCCTACATGATTCCCTCCATAATGAGCAGCACACTTGCCAGGATTCATTATATATATTAACTTATGGGTTTTTTCTGGCCAGCCATCGCTAAAGCACCAGCTGTATATTTAAAAAAGCCTTTAATTATCTTGAGTGCTTTTCTAAAGATTTCTAGCGCTGATTGGCCGCATTTGTATTTGCTTGTATCCCAAAAGTTCCAAACCAAGTCATAACACTGCAGCACTTCACACATAGTCACTGCATCCCATGTTCACTGGGTATACTATCAAATTCCTTAAAATATTTAAAGGAATTAGGTCAATACACCACGAGGTAATAAGCTCTGTGCTTGTTTACAACCAGAGCTGTGAGGATTTGCTCCACTGAAACAAAGGTTCTTACAGTGGGGAATTATTTGGAGTCTTTCGTGATGGTCACGATGGATGAACTAGAGTACAACAGGTAGTACTTAGGAAGCTGAGTAGTTTTACAGATGAAGATTTCTCACCTTCAGAATGGGAACGTTGCTCTGGTCAGCCAGGAAAACGGCGCGGTTGCAGAGTCCAGCGATTCTGGACAGATTAGCCCAGGTGGCAGAGCTCCTGTCAAAAGAGGTACCGCTCTGGTTCTCAGTGGTGTCAGCCTCATGGATCTGGTTGTCAAACCACATGTGGGCCACAGTCATTCTGTTCTGGGTCAGGGTGCCGGTCTTGTCAGAACAGATGGTGGAGGTGGAGCCCAGCGTCTCGACAGCTTCCAAGTTCTTCACCAGGCAGTTCTTCTTGGCCATACGCTTAGCAGTCAGAGTCAGACACACCTACAGACAATTTAGGTTTTAAGAACCACAGTCTTTTTGTATCAATAAATATAAGGTATTTATATTTATAAAAGGAATGCCATTAGACACCAAAACTCACAGTGACAGTAGCCAAAAGACCTTCTGGCACGTTGGCGACGATGATACCAATAAGGAAGATGACAGCCTCCAGCCAGTTATATCCAAGGATGAGAGAGAGGATGAAGAAAGAAACACCCAAGAACACGGCCACTCCAGTGATGATGTGGATAAAATGCTCAATCTCAATGGCAATGGGAGTTTTTCCGCCCTCTAGACTGGAAGCCAGGGTGGCGATGCGGCCCATGACGGTATTATCACCAGTGTTGATGACGATTCCTCTGGCTGTGCCTGAAAAGAGAAGACAGACTGAGTCCATGGAAGCTTGGTGATGATTCATGATCTCTATATACATTTCTATGTCAACCACTAATTGTCCATGCTGTACCTTCAATACAGTTGGTGGAGAAGAAAGAAATATTCCTGGTTTCCAGTGGGTTTTCATTGGAGAAGTCTGGAGAACGAGTCTGGGGCTCTGATTCACCAGTCAGGGAGGAGTTGTCCACCTGAGGAATGAAAGCACAGAAGCAGGAATCAGTGACAAAAGACATCATGCTGATCAAGCCAGAAAAAGGATATATTGAGAAGCTGAGATGGAGGTGGGTTGCCAAACAGCTAGCAGGTGAGCAACAAATGTATGTTGGGTAAAGAAACTCAAACACAGTCTAGATAAGATTCCTCGTTAGGAAACATAGAAAGGTTTCTGATAAGCAATCATCCGATGCTGAGATCGTGATGTGAGCTTGCCTTTAATGCTTTTGTGGACTAACATTCCGCCCAATTACTCAAAAACCATAACACATGAATCAGAAACATTATCACAGGGCAGCTTGAGTGTAAAGAAATAAATTGAACAGCCTAAAAATATATATATTAGCTATCAAACCCACGCTCTACAAAAGTATTTGTTGGGATTAACACAAGTAGTTGAGATACAGACCTTGCAGCCATGAGCAGAAATAATTCTCAGATCAGCAGGGATCCTGTCTCCTCCTTTCACCTCCACTAAATCTCCAAGCACCACCTCCTCAGCATTGATGTTCTTCTTCTCTCCATCACGGATAACCAGGGCTTGCTATAAAACCAAAGACTTAAGTTAAACATTATAAAACATGTCAAAAAGACATGGTGAATATTTCTTGTCTTTAATTCCCAGATGATTCACATGAGTGATGGTAAAAATGTATCATCATTGTTGAAATACTGATGACAAAACACTACTCCTTAGAGTTGTGCAACGAGTACTGTTGCTTGTTACCAAAGACTTTAGTTAAACATTATAAAACAATAACTACATTATAAAACATGTCAAAAAGACATGGTGAATATTTCTTGTTTTTAATTCCCAGATGATTCACATGAGTGATGGTAAAAATGTATCATCATTGTTGTAATACTGATGAAGAAACACTACTCCTTAGAGTTGTGCAACTAGTACTGTTGCTTGTTACTACAAATCAATTTGAGACAAAAACAGTGTGTATAAATGAGCTGTTACATTAGCTTTTCTTTTTGTGTCTCACCTGTGGGACCAGGTTCTTGAACGACTCCATGATCTTGGAGCTCTTGGCCTCTTGGTAGTAGGAGAAGCAACCGGTGATGATGACGACAGCAGAAAGCACAACACCTAGGTACAACTACATGAAGAGAGACATAACCTTTGTAACTACTAATTCTTTAATTAATATGTCACAATCTATATAAAGAAACTATCATTACGTTATCATTTGTAGGTTCATCTTCTGAGGCAGCCTGGATACCGTAAGCCAAGAAGCAGAGGATAGCACCAATCCACAGCAGCATGGAGAAACCACCAAACAGCTGGGAACAAGAGGAAATAACCATCAGTCTTTGCTGGTTGTACTGGTTTACAGTGACACAGACTTAATTTGCATTTATACTATTTGAATATTCAAAAACAGGTTTGTGGTTTGCAAGAGGAGGATGTTTGACTCTCACCTGTTTGCAGAACTTGACCCATTCAGGTGTTGTGGGGGGAGGTGTGAGGGCGTTGGGGCCATCTCGGGCCAGGATCTCTTTTGCTCTGGAGGAGGAGAGACCCTAAAAAGAAACACAAAGATAAGAAGAAGCTGTGCAAACTATAATATAAAAAAATATTCATCTGTTCTCTAAATCTGTCTAAATCTTCATTTACTGGGTGAGAACCATAATAAAGGACAAGAACAAGAACGGTTTTATTTGGTAAACAGGTTCACTCTATTCCACAAAGACATGGTGGATTAAGGTCTGGTTGACACAAAACAAAAGAAAACCCAAACGCAGGAAGAAAATTATCTCCCTAATCTTAAAATAAGAGCTTCCTCTGTTTTATGTGTGACTTGCAGTAAATGAAAACTCAACATACCAGTAGTAATAAAACCAAGACAGAGAAATATACCAGAAGATCAAGTTGTATTTCTGTTACTTCATGTATGACTGAAAGTCTCTTTAAACAAATACCAGGATTAACAAGGAGCTTTTTTTCTCTCCTTGTTGGCAGGATCAATAAGTCTGGTGTTCTGGTGTGAATGAAGCCTTTGTTTTAGGGCAAACTCAGACAGATCAGATTTCAGGAGATAACCAGCGTCACTCAGGCATTTGGCCGTGGTGGAATTGTATTGGCTAGTGCAATTGGATTCTGTGTGTATGTAACCTTAGCTTGATGAGGAAAACATGAAGAACAACTATTGTGTAGGAGCTGGCTTTGCTTTCTTTGTACAGTGTGGCGTGCACTGATACCTTAAAGGGCTACTCTTTTTCCTCTTCCTAGAAATTTCTTGTGTCTTCTCTTAATTGTGGGAACACGTAGCATCATTGTAACAATGCAACAGCACGACTACTTTCTAACAAAGTAGTCTTTGACCTGCTTGCAAATCATACTCATAGCCAAGACCATTACAGTACTTTTAAATAACAGGGAAACTTTTTATTTCTTTCCACTGTTTTGAAAAGTCACTTTTCACCTGCTTTTCATTGGGGGGAAGGAAGGAATGAGGCCAACACCTGTAAAACTAGGCTAAAAACCAAGAAATGAATTTCTTTGCTGCATGACTATCTGTGCCTCCACTTCTTTGCTCTTGGATAGCACACTACACTGCTGGGTAAATACAAGAAAAAAGTGAAACTTTGTCCACGTCTTTAGTCCGCTGTTTGACCTCAGCTTGGATTGTGAAATCTTCCCTTACCTTTGTCTTTATCAGCTGAAAGACTCACAAAAACAAAGACACACATACACACATCTGGAATGCTCACCCTGGTTAGGTCAGTTCCATATTTTCTGTGAAGTTCATCCAAGGTTAACTTGTGATCATCCTATGGAGAGAGAAGGAAAGAGACTGAGAGACATTGCATAAGTGAGACATGAAGGCTGCCGTGAGCTCAGTGACATTCGGATTGGCTCAAGCAATCAGTTTGCTGCGAGCAAACACTCCGTCAATCGATGTCACCCAACTGATAGACTGATGTTTGCTCTCAAAAGTTTGTGCTCATTTGTTTGACATTTCAGCAAAGCTCCCCAAGAACTCTATCTGACTCAGAGGCTAACTCACGTCATTATCAGTGACATCAAAGTGAATTTGGTGCAAGATATTCATAATGATTTCTTGTAGTGTTTAACCATGAGTGTTTGTAAGCCACCAAAAGTTTTAATCAAGCAATAATTCAGTTAATTCCAAATGCGAAAGCGGCAGAAACTAAAGTAGCTCTGCAAATGAACCACCAGAGACGCATGTGTTCATTGATGCCTACAGTGAGATTATCTCATGTCATTCGGATGAGCTGCAGTGATATCTAACTCCCACCTTTCATTGATTGGAAACTGAGAGACAACATAGTCATGCGATCAAGAGTGCACTAAAGCAATTTAATTTCCATTTCCAGACAAAAACAAACAAAAACAAAAAATATTATTTACATAAATAAAGCAAGGATGTTGTTTTATACCCACAAATTTATATGTTAATGGTTTTAAAGATAGCGGCAGATAATCTTCTGGGACTGCTGTGTCACATATCATGAGGTGACGTTGCCTAGCAACCACCTATCAATGGGCTAAGATGACCCATTTCTTTTTTTTCTCCTTTTTTTGGTGTTTATGCACCTACAGCAAACCAGCTCCAGCATCACTATCACTTTAATTTCACAACAATACCATCTGATTTGTATCCACAAAACCTGGATTATGTATTACGTGGGTTGTGATGTCATCACATTGCCTAGCAACTGCCTACCAACAGACTAAAAATCATAGCACGTGTACTGTGGCATGGGCATGTGCTGGTGATTCGAGAGTACAGGATCACTTTGATTGTTTAAAGTGTAAAAGCTCCAGTCGTTTACTGCCTGCACTGTGAAAAGAGTGTCAGAGTTGTAGTTGCAGGTAAATGATTGTCACTCGGCTTTCTGCTTTAATAGATTGCAGTATCTTTTTTGGTTAACCTTTATTTAACAGAAAGAGTGCACATCAAGTTTCACTTACTGTGTGCTGGGTTGATCTTACTAGTTATGTTTTTAATTAAAAAAGTTAATTAAACCACTTCTCTTTCTTCACTGTGCTTGATGACATTTCTCTGCACGCTTTCCTGTCACATGGGGAAAAAAATGGGGGTAACCGCATGGTTCAATCAGCATGGCCACCTTTTTGCATTACAATAAGCATGCAAAGTGTTCCATACCAAATGTGCCACAGATACTGTGCTTACATTACATGCTACAGGCTAGCTTTCATATTCTGGTTTATAAAGACCTACACCTGGACCAGCTGAAGAAAGAAAATCTATAACTCAGTAAGATCTATATTTAGGACTTTCTGTTAGACTTTGTCACAATTTATCAAATCACTAGCTGCGTTGTGTTATTGTGGGCCTGTTCCCTTTGTCTTTAGCTGGACTTTGATGCCTCGGTTAATTGTATGATGATGCAATAATCATTAACAGATTGCCAGATCCATGGGTTTCATAGAGAGTCACCTACAGTTTTACTACTGAGCTGATACATTAATCCAATACGTTATTAATATTTAACTAAAGTTCAAATCTGGGGATTATCAATCCAAGCTGCCCTTTGACAGTAAATCTTATTTTGAAATGCACATTCAATGGTGGCCTGACACATGAAAGACAATGCCTGCTTTTAATTGCAGGTCATGGGAGGTCATGGCACTTAGGTGATAGGGTTGCCATGGCATTGAGATGTCCTTCAGTGACAGCAGGACTTTGAGATGTAGTTAAGATGTACACGGGACAGTAATCATTCATGTGTGTGGAAGATGGGGCTTTTATTACCTAATAACTCTCAGTATTCTGTGACCTGCAGGATGACATTGGGAAGAAGGGACTGTCGCTTGTTTCAAGACAAAATCACTGTAGAAGTGCCAAAGACCGCTAATAGCATGTTCTGTCAAAAATGTTGTTTTTAACAAGTTACTTTGGAGCCATGTTGGATATCTGGATATTACCTAACAATATCTCTCTACATGTTTCCTTTGTGACCTTGTGAAAGTCATTGACCAGCAACATTTAAAAAACACCATTCTGCCAAATAACTGATGGTTCCTCATGACAGAAGTGACATTTCAACACAGATCGCTCGCTAATACTTGACTGGTGTTTGGAGATGTTGGTAAACTTGCCTATGTGTCAACTGACCTTGTCAAGGACAAGGACAAGGCTAAAATATTTTCTAGAGTATAGATCTTAAATACACGTGAATATGTACATATATACAAATAAACGAGTAACCAGTGACTTTACGTGGTATTTTTAAAAACGCACTAGTTTTACCCACTTTATCTGTTTTTGACTGATAACCAACAAAACTATGTTAATCCGAATGGATGGAAAATTTGCCTGGAATTGAAATGCATAATATTAAGTGTCTGAGATAAATGTCGCGCTGAGTTGTATCCAGTGGAGACATGAGAAGAAAGGTGAATGCCTCCATGTGTCGGATAAAAACCTAAACACTTGAAACTTTTAATAAAAGCATCCCTGGCTTCTAAAATACCAAAACGACAGTTTTAACTGGTCATCGGTGCTCTGCAGTTGACTTTGTCGTGAACTCACACCAAGTTCCTTGCTGACCTTGGGAAATGACCTAAGCAAGCTGCAGACTGTGACTGAGAAAAAGCTGACACCAGTGGAAAACATCTCAGTGTTCTGCTTTTTCCCCCCTCCCTCTCTCTCATCTGTCTACGCCAGGATGTTTAAAAACCTGTCTAAATTTTTAAGTGTGAAACTTCATAACTCCACCAGTCTCTACGTCATCAGAGTCCAGTGGAAAGAGTTGAACATTTGAAGCCTAACAATAAAAAAAATGCTGAGTGTTTGTGGAAGTTTATGCATTTGAAACATCCTGGCACTCCCACCCAGCACTGACGTGTTTGGTTGAGATCAGTCTTTATAGACATGGCTTGCAATTTAATTATAGCTGTGAGCTACACTATGCAAGCAGTCCCAATAATGTGTGACTGTACATGCAGCAGTGTAAGCACAGAGCTACGTCTCATGTGACCAGCCGTGAGGCCAAAGCAGAGGTTTGTATCGCTGGCAGTGACTGAGTGTTAACATGAACTGAGTGAATTTTCTAAAATGACTTGACTTTAACTAGTTTAGATGTCATTTTGTAGGCTTTAGTGTCACCATTTCATGCTTAAATCACATCAATCGAGCCCTCAAGTGGCAACTAATTACAGACTGGCTTTGCACAAGCTCTGTACTCACAAGGTCGACTTCTTTTTTCAGATCGTCCATATCCTTCTTGGCCTTGGCCTTCTTGTCTTTCTTGCCCCCATCTTCCGAGGTTGCCGCCAGTTTGTATTCATCTTTCCCTTTCTGCAGTGAAGAAAAGGGAAACAAAGTTAGCCTCTGACAAAAAAAAAAAAAAACTCAGAAAAAGCCTGAGGGAAGAAAGCCCTGGAGCTTCCGATTTTAAGAAGCGGGAAGCTATGTCAACTGTCCTGTTCAAACATGTTGTGAAACTCCTGTAAATTATTGTTAACACAAGTGAGATCTTTGAGTTCTGGAGTTCATAAACTTCCTAAAGCTGAAAAGAAAGACGTAGTCTAAGTCAATGTAGGAGAATTTGGCACTCACATGCAAAGTTAAGCAACCTTAAGCAAACTTGTGACAGAGTTCCAACACTTACCCCAAGCCCCATGACTGCAGCACGAGTCAGAGAGTGGTCAGTCCAATTGCTTTTTAAAACTGAAACTTCCCACTCCGCCTCTGCCTCTCTCTCTCACGCTCACTCTCTTCCTCGTTTCAGTCCTGCGTCTTCCACTCTCCCCAGAGCAGAGAAGGTAGAGGCGGTTGCAGAAATACACCTTTATACCTGGAGGAATAAGAGGAGGGGCTTGCTGTGTGGGGGAAGGGAGCTAAAACTGGACAGGTAGCTTAGTTGGGGGAAGTTTACTTGCATTGGGAGGAGGCGTGCCCGAGAAAGGGTGGGCTAAATCTTACTCAACTTCTCATTTTTGTTCCCACTGTAGCCGGTCTTCTCCTTCCCTCTCCCTTCCAACTGTCCTAAAATCATTTTTCGGCTTCTGTTTTTGATTAATTTCATCTGCAGTGTTATTCGTGCGAGGGCATTGTCTCAGGTTGTGTGTGCTTACCTCACACAGTGAAAGGCAAGATAGTGAGAGACACAGAGATAAAGCAACAGCTCCAAAGGTCAAAGTACAGCTTTGAAGGTGACTGATTGCCCAAAGCTTGAATAACAAAGACCAAAAGTAAAGTACCAAAAAAAGAAAAAAAAAGTGAGAAGCTGATTAAAACTGACTGACTTTTATCTTGCGAGGGCGCGGGAGATAGAGGGAGAACAAAACTGCTACTCAAAACGACGATAGCATGTGGAATGCAAAGGGAGTAAACCACTGAGCCTGAAGCTCAAAGCAACGCCCCCCCCTCCCCCTCTGAAAAAGAATCTAATTTGAAAGTGTTTTGAGATTAAAATTTTTAGCTATCTCTTGCAAACTTGGCCAAAGTTGAATGGAAAAGTGAATTTAATTGGTGTGGTCGATACACTTAACAGGATCCAAAGGGTTTGCAGCTGCCACTGGAATCCCCACCTCAGCATTCCTGAGGTTAGCAAAGTCTAAAGTAAAGCCATAAAGTTTTAACTGACAAGGTTTCAATGAATGATTAAGCAACATAATGTGCCTGCAATACTCCGTGCCCTTGAACAGAGCGACCACTGACTGCTGACTTCTTAACTGAATGACAGTCCCTGTGAAGCAAATGCACTACCCAAAAGTTTTCAGCACTAGCGCTCACAGAGCCACGGTGGAACTGAAGGACACCTGTGACCCCCAATGTCCCTTATGGAACCGACACATGCCGTTAACGCAACTGAAACTTTAGCTGTGAGGATTAAGGGCTGTCCTTGATGGCTGACTGGTGGGGGTTGTTGGATGTGTTTGTAGTAAACTTACGACTGTTTGTAGTCACTCAACTATTGCAGGGTGGGGGGTTAGCAACGGAGTGGGAGGGAGCTTGCAAAACACTAGGGGGGCGTGGGGGCGGGTGGGGGACACATGGAAAATCTCAGAAATGAACATAAGGGCTTGTAATAAATGATTAGGTAACATGGTGGCCAAGAAATACTCTGTGCCCTTGAGCAGACAAAGTGATCTCTTGACTTGTTGTCAGACTGTTAGAAACAACAGAAAACAGGCTAAAATGACCCTAAATGATGAGATAATCCCACGTTTACCAACAAGGAAAGCCTGGAGAAAATTAACCACTATGCAAGCAGCGTCAGTGCACAGTATTTATGTTTTATTGAAAGCGCCACACATACATCAACATAATCTGACTATGACTTGTGGTGTTAGTGGTCTAACATCTCAAACATAGGTGTAGCATATGAAACACTCCTGTGTCCCACGTATGGCGCTGGCTCAGTAGTATGTCTCTAGCTCCACCCAACCTAGAAACCAAACGAGACGCAATTAGGAACATCGCTTTTGTCACATCTCGCCTCACATGCACCAGGGTTGACAAACTGGTGCGTTGAAAAAACAAAAGCCATGGTTTCAACAAGCTTGCACTCAATCCGTTAAGTTTGTTGGCAGCAATCAAAAGAAAAGAGACTCGACTTGTGGAAGGGGGGGGCGGGGCTTTGAAGATATATGTTGCTGAACTTTGGCCAAATGCCATCATGGCTTTGGTGGCAATGCTATTAGAAGATGTATCCTGCAGGGGCGGGAGAGGCTGTGTCATTTTGGTCTCACAGATGCTGATGAGATGACATCATCAGTGAGGCCATAAATAATCAGCCTGGGATGAAATGACTAAAAGGATCACAAGACACTGAAATGACCCTGTAGCTCAAAAGCTATGAGTGGAGTTTCATGTAAATGCAATTGAGTAAAACTGTCCTAACGAGACATGTTAGGACAGTCATGTTAGTCTAAATGTTAACTAGTTGGACATCCTAAAAAAATCCAAGTATTTCTGGTGGAAATGCCAGCAACATTGTATGGGATTTGGCATATAGTAAATAATAATAAATTAAACAGAGTAAATTAAATGAAATAAAAATCTGGAAAATGAAACACACATATTTTAATGCACTGTTGTCCCATTTATCCACCCGTGTTGCTTTGGTGTGAACGGCCACTTTTGGAAACATCAGCTTCACAGATGTGTGCCTTGCTTAAATATAATGTAACTATTACCTGTTATTAATTCCACCAACTTTGTTCTGGTAAGAGTATCATAATAAAAATCCTTAAAAATCCTTGATGTGGGCAATTTAATGCAGGAACAATTCCCATCAACTGTATGACTGTGTGTAGCTGAGATATAATATACTGAGTGTGAACATTCTCAAAACTGTATTGTATATAGTTTATTTTTTTTTTATTATTGTGTAAATTAAATTTTTGTAAAACTAAGGTTCCACGTGTCACTGTTGAAGTGGGGCATTAATCAGTGTGACGCCACTAGTAAACATGTTGCATGTGTGGGGTTTCCCAGCCAGAGCGGCATGGATTCCACACTGGTGAGGCACACTTTCTGCAGCTCCTCTCCCTGTACTAAATTATACGTTTAAATTTGGTGTATTTGTCTTTGCTAAGTATTAGTTCTTTTGGCTAAAAGCTCCCAAAGTGTTTTTGATTGCTTTGAACGAGGAAAATAGTAATTGGAACTGCGTTTTATCTGTTACACCATCCGTTTATGTGTTGCTTACTTGTGCTACACAGGAATGAGGAGAGGCCTGCTATTGCTGTGTGACACTGATTTTGCTGCTGCACTTTGTCTTTTAGGTATGTGTAAATGTATAGGTTTTGTTTTATGCGCATAATGAGTTCATGACCTGAGGCTGCACACTGAATAGTATTTTCAGCCATGTTGGGAAAAGTTAAAGTTGTTTGAATATGTATTGTGTGATTGATCCATCTTAGTGGGGATTTAAATATTACAAGTTATTATTAGTGGCTTCATATTTGTCTCTGTTTTACCCCACTATAACATTTGATTTTAAAGTGGCTGTTGTTTTGATAGATTGTATTTTCTTTTATATATTGTAAGCAGAGCGGCATGGATTCCACACTGGAATGAGGAGAGGCCTGCTATTGCTGTGTGACACTGATTTTGCTGCTGCACTTTGTCTTTTAGAAATAAATCCAGTTTCCAGCCAGTCTGTGTCTGTTGTCACAACGCAGTCGACCATTTGAAATCTGCTACATGTGCGGGAGAAAGAGTACATCTACTGATCACGGAGGGGCTTTTAACTGCAGCAGCTTGAGAGGACGTAAACATAAATGGTTCCCACCCCCTTCCACCCAACCAACAGCTGAGCTTTAATGCCAGCCAGCTGATGGGCTCCTTTGTTTCAGTGGATGTGGTTCAGTAGTATGAAAATAGTTCCCACATGAAACTGTGCAAAACAAGGTTTGTAGAGTTTTTGAGCAACCAGGCCCTGATTACAGGAAGGATACATAGCTGCCACTGGCACTACAAGGAAAATGTTATTTAGTTTCATGACATTTAAGAGAATGGAGACATTTCCACAGCCTATACTGTATCACCAAATCTGGGCACTACAGGCCCAAGTTAGATTTTGCAGTGAAATATTCCTTTAAGTAGCAGGCTCGTCAAAGCACTTGATTATTGCTCTTCAAATTTGGATGTACAATAGATTTTAATGCAAAACAGCACATTTTGTGCTTCTGATTTCTCATTTGGGTAAAAAGGAGTTGCACGCTACTGCATTCAGATTAAAATGCAGAGACAAAACGGGGGTCCTGGGTGCCTCAGAAATATAACAGAGTTAGTGAAGCTCTTACCTCCTGGGTTTCGTCTGAGGATATATCTTCTGACTTCATCATAAAGGAAGATGACGAGGGAGTAAGGGAAGGCACAGAACCACCACAATGGCCTAAAGGTATGGATGGACAGTCAGGTTGAGTTACATGGCAAAAAAAGCAAAACAAAACACAAACACACTCGTCTTTTTTCTGTCAGGTTCAATAAAGGCACATGAAAAGCTTTTGGAGTGAGCATTAGGCTGCAGAGAACCGGCTATTAGAATGAATTCAGAAGCTGTTAAAGCAAAACGAGGCAGAGAAATCTGAGGACTCTAGGTCGAGGACATATCCTGCTGATGCGTTCATCTCTTTGAGACTGCTCTCTGGCGACTCTAACGAGGTTACTGAAAGACCACTAATGCAAAGCCCTGAAAACCAGCCCACAAAACTCTGGGATCTGTTTGTTATGTTTTTGTGCTTATTTCAGTGTCCTAGATCTAGTGCAGCTGTCTACATCTGAATATATCCACAGGTAAACAAAGAAATTAAAAAAATAAAAGAGAGTAAAATAATCAGAAATAGGGACAACAACACAGAGAATAAGAAACTGTGATTATTTAAACACCAGAAGACACCCAAAGAAACAGGGGAGTGGGTAAGTTAGGGAAAAAAAAGGGATAGAAATGCAAGAAAAAGGTTAATATTGAAAAGATGGCAAAGGACAGTAGCATGCAAACTTTTCAACTAATGAGCCTAAAGTGTCCTCAATGCTTTCTATTGTTCTCTTTTGGGCAAAGAAACTCATTAGTAATAACAGCTCTTGTGCTTCGCTCTGCCTCTGAAGAGGAAATTACCAGTGACACTAGATAATAGCCGTCTTATTTTCAACAAGAAGGTAAAGCAAGATGACACCACCGAATTAAACACAACAAGATCAACACTTTACCAGGGGATTGTCTTGTGTTCATGAATGTCATTGCATGAATAAAGGTGACAAAGAAGATGGCCACAAGAATAACCGTGGAAGAGCAAAAGTGTGCTTTATGAATAATTATTGAATTCTGAGGGTGTTTTCCTGGTATTACTGGATGATTAAGAAGAGCACAAGTTTGTCTGTGTGCTTGACTCACTTCATAGGGTACATTCTTAGGGCAACATCCATGCCCGGGCAGTATGACAGAAAGGCAGCCAGAGCCGTCTCCTCAACGAGCCCAAAGATAAGGATGCGGTTCCTGCGGGGCAAAAAAGTCAGAATCACCAAAACACTGGTGAATATTCTTAGATGTTCTAAAATCAAGCATCACAACGTGGGAGGTCATTAAACTTTAAAGGTGCTCTTAGTTTTGATGTAAGTCCCGCCCTGAGATCTCTTGTGTCTCCACATATACGTACGTCATTCCTTGCTTCAAAATGGAGTTCCTCCTGGTCTTACAGATGATTAGATCAGCCCACTGGACGATTACAATGCTTGTGAAGAAAGCTGTGTGGCAGGTGAACTCTACAATCTTTCTGCGCTCATATGTCTAGTGCACAAAAAACAAAATGATAAGCTTAGAAAGCCTTTTCGAGCACTGAAACTCAAGTGAACAACACAATAAAGCTGAATAATTCTCCCAGTTCAGAGTACATGTAGTAGAATTACTGTGACTGACCCATTCCTGTCCATAGCTGTCTTCCAGGTCATTTAGATATTTGTCATCCCACAGCACTCTGAGTCCTATCAGGTCCGTGGGGAGGAAACCGTTTTCAGCCAGGATGACAAAATATGTGAAGAAGCCAGCTGTGGCCTGCATCATACCTAACAGGAGAAAAACAACAGGGAACTTCAGGAAATGCAGATTGTATTGATTTTTCTTTTTACATTCTGTAGTTTTTGGTGTCTAAATGGTTTCCCAGAGCTTGAAGGTCCACGACTACTTTTGATCATAAGGTGACTGCACAGGTCAGCTGATAGGAGGCAACCTTTCTGAAACCAGTAGTTCAGTCTGACTTGGGCTGACTGCTGTCACTCTCAGTGGGATTGTTGAAGGTTTGCAAATAACTGCAGCAAGAGATATGTATTTGTAGTGGGGCGTGGTCTGCAATGCCTCTCCAGGTGAGATGGATGAACCTGCGTGGCAACTGCAATCACGCTTCGTCAGCTTAAAAGTCTGTGACTGTTTAATCTTGTAGTTGTTGTTGTTGTGGATGTGTGTGGTTGACAGCTGCAGAAATGCAGCCCATTGTGAGTGTACAGCAACTGTGTATGTGTAAAGCAGCTGAATAAAGATGCTGAAAGTATAAGAATATCATCAGGTCTGCCGTGTGTTCTTTAGAGTATTTTTAAGTGATGTATCACGGTTAATTGTGGTCTCATCAGAAACAGATTAGATTTAATTGCCAACTTGTCCCCATTCAATCTCAGACTGATTGCACATTGAATCTGTTTTATGGCTACACTTGTGGCAGGTTTTAGTGATATTGTTGTTATGTTTGACAATCTCATTTTTTCTGTTGTTTTCTGTGTAGTGCAATTTACTGTGTAGAAATGGTAATCACAATACTTAGAATACAGCAACATGTAAAAAAAAATTATGTTGTATTGTGAGTAAAGTACTGTGATAATATCGGAACGTGGGGTGTGTAGCAATTCCCATCTATCAATAGCTCGCCTTTCATAATTGCAGACATTTTAGATAGACCATTCAAATGCAACTGATGGATATAAATAATGCACAAATGGGCAGAAGAGTTAGAATTAACTTTTTGAGGGTTTTTGGAAAATTATATGTCATATTGAAGGTGCAGAATTCTCAAATACTGCCACAAAAATATGGATACAGTATAGTTAAAGCTGAATAAATAAATAATGTCTTACCAATCTGTCCATAGGATATACTGATGAGCCTTTCATTCACTAGCTTGTCTGTTTTGGGGTTTCTGGGCTGTCTCTTCATGATGTCGCTCTCAGCCTTCTCATAAGCCAGGGAGATGGCAGGGACCTGCAAAACCACAAGTGAATAAATAAATACATGAACTTTCCACCCAAATTTGAGTTCATTTGAACCTCTCTATAGAACAGGATGAAGAGCCAAACAGCTCACCATGTCAGTTCCCAGATCAATACAGAGGATGGTGACGGTTCCCAGGGGCAGAGGGATGTTGGCGATGATGAAGAGGAGGAAGGGTGAGATCTCGGGGATGTTACTGGTCAGAGTGTAGGCGATGGACTTCTTCAAGTTGTCAAAGATCAGACGGCCTGAACAAAGTAATTTAGAAGATTCAGTAATGCTTTGTATTTTGTATTTCCAGATTTCTGCAGGTGTAGGTGTTGATATAGATCTTACCTTCTTCCACTCCAGTGACAATGGAGGCAAAGTTATCGTCCAGCAGGATCATGTCAGCAGCCTGCTTGGAGACATCAGATCCAGCGATGCCCATGGCAACACCGATGTCAGCTTTCTTCAGAGCTGGAGAGTCGTTCACACCATCACCTGTCACGGCCACAATGGCTCCCTGGACAAGGAAGAACATGTTTTTACAAGTTCCAAACAAAACATTTGTCAAACTGTGTCTGTGAGAATCCCCACCGATGCTCACCTGTCTCTGGCATCCTTCCACAATGATCAGTTTCTGTTGAGGGGAGGTCCTGGCAAATACAATTTCAGTGTGGTGCTTCAGCAAATCATCAAGGTGCTCTGAGGTCATGTCTTTAAGTTCACCACCATGGACAACGCAGGCCTTAGCATCCCTGAAGAAATTACAACAGCATTAGTACAACAGTAGGGTATCATCAGGAGATTACATCAGGACATTTCAAAAAGTAAATTATGTGAACTTTGGTACTGTCAGCAAAAAAGTGTTCAATAACACTGTTACCTAATAAAATGTTCGATCCTCAGTGCAGACAGTGAATCCCAACCTTTTGTTTTTAGCATTTATTTAACCCAACAGAATGTTATGTCATATTTTGTAAACAGAGGTTTTATATGAGTTTAAAAGAGCCTAACAATCCTAACCCTGCAAAAGCGCTAAGGAGGATAGTAATTTTAGCATGCTTTAACGTGAACACACACACACACTATAACTTGTTGATGAATAAAAAGCAAAGCCACCAGCTAAGCATCACTCCAAGATTTAATAGAAGGAAATTAATGGTAAAAGCCTTTTTGGCTGTGTAGCAGTCAGGACCTCTGAAAGACAGAGTTAATTTAATTTAGCAGGTTTTGCAATCTCAAGCAAACTTTAAAGCTGTATCATTAAAGAGAGAAACATTTTGAACAGTTCTCACTTGTGGTCAAGAAACTGTCAAAGCTACTTCACTAAATCTTTGAAAGAGAACTAACCTAGGGTTGACCTCTGAAACTGGAATATTTAAGCGGGCAGCAATGTCTTCAACAGTCTCATTGCCTTCTGAGATGATACCCACACCTTTAGCAATAGCCTTGGCTGTAATTGGATGGTCACCTGTGACCATGATGACCTGAGAAAGAAGAGAAAAAATTGGAGTACTTTGTGCAAACAAAAAAACAAACATCTGGTCATCCAAAAAGTTATCATACCTTGATTCCAGCACTCCTGCATTTACCAACAGCATCAGGCACAGCAGCACGAGGAGGGTCGATCATGGCCATGAGTCCGACGAAGCACAGGTTCTCAGTGGGGAAGTTCACTTCATCAGTATCAAAAGCAAATCCCTCTGGGAACTGGTCATCAGGCAGGTGACAGTGGCAGAAACCTGAATAAGATACAAAGAAAATACTTGAAAGATTCCCCTTTGCTAGCTAAAATTGAATATACAGATAGCGAAGGAGGCTAGCTGTACCCAGTACTCTCTCTCCAAGACCTCCCAACTCAACATAGGCGTTATTGAAAGAGTCTTTCATCTCATCATCCAGAGCCTGCTCTTTGCCCTGAAGTAAAATGGAGGAACAGCGATCCAAAATCCTCTCTGGAGCTCCTTTCATCACCAGCAGATGCTTGGTTTCCCCAGGAGTGGTGTTTTTATGGATGGAGAGCTGTGGGGCAGCAGAGAGGCTGGATTTAAATTCAGGTTTAAGTGATTTACATGAAGCAAAATTAAAATATAATTTTACTCTAAACCGTTTGATAAGACCTTTTACTAGATTAATCAAAAACATTTAATAGATTCAGGTAAGGCAAGTTTTATTGCTAAAAATGCTGTTGTTAAAATTAGACTGGAATAAAATATATGTAAAATATAGACATGGCTTAGGGCCCTGAAAAGTAAGTTCA